GCAATAATATTGCTGCAATAATTTTTCCTCGGAGTATTTCAGAGTTATTTGCTGGGCAATAATATTTTTAACTAGTATATATGGAATTGATAAATCCAGTATAAATAAAGTTAGTTAAATTTAGATTTCCTCCACTAGTATAACAGTGGATCAATAAATGATGGCCCTCACTGGACCTCTGGGAAGAACAGTACGGAATTGATAGAACTATATCCAGTATAAATAAAGTTAGTTAAATTTACATTTCCTCTAGTATAACACTGGACCTCTAGGAAGAACAGTTTCTTAGAAATGATAGAGTTATCCTGTGTAAGGATATAGATTCGTTTCGGTTTCTTTCAGAGCTGATTAAACTGAACTTCGCGCAAGCTGCCAACTTGAAAGCAATCAAAATATGCATGGGCGTAGCAGCCACTAACGACTTTTAACGCGCATTTGCCAATTTCCTCCTCCAGACAAAAATATCATTTCCTTTCAAGCTTAATGCACGACTACAATCACAAACAGTCTTAATGCACAATTGTTTAACATTTTCATCTCCCACATCTGGGGGAGAACAATAGCAATAACTTTTGGAAATTGTTCATTAGTGTTACGCTGTAAATGAGACGCACTTGGGATGCATCTGTTCTTTCTATATATACATGGGTGTTGTAAAAATATGCTTTTACAAGAAGATTAATGGCTTTTGAAGTGAAAAGAAGGCTGTTTTTCCTCGGAGTATTTCAATGAATTATTCACTGTTTCAATAGTGTTATATAGACCCACAATTCAGGGTCAGTTTCATTAATGTACTCGTGGCTCTTGCACAACACACAACACACGCCTGAGGCGGCTTGCTAATCATCTCGGAAGAGAATTGTTCTTTACTCAAGTAAGTTTTGATCTTTAGAACACACAAAGGTTGGTGGTGGTTTATACACTATCAAAGTTTCTGTGATCACAGTAGGAATTTTGCGTAGATAAATTCTAAGTTTTGAAGGATTTGTAAAGGCCCGTTTACACTTGCAATTTTTGCTACGATTTAGGTGCGATTTTCCTCTTCTGATGGATGTGAACGAGTAGATGAGTTATGAACGTACAGTTGAGGGAACATGCACTCAGGACATTCCATACACATCTGCTCGTTCACATCCATCAGAAGGAGAAAATATCGCACTAAAAATCGAAGCAAAAATTGCAAATGTAAAAAGGCCTTAATTAAGAAATATGTGAGGGAACCGACCTAGTCGAAGGAACTACCTATAGTCGAAGGAACTACCTAAAGTCGAAGGAACTACCTATAGTCGAAGGAACTACCTATAGTCGAAGGAACTACCTATAGTCGAAGGAACTACCTATAGTCGAAGGAACTACCTATAGTCGAAGGAACTACCTATAGTCGAAGGAACTACCTATAGTCGAAGGAACTACCTATAGTCGAAGGAACTACCTATAGTCGAAGGAACTAGATTCTGTTCCGAAATATCACTTACTCGAACCGTCCTGACCGCGTAGCTCAGTTGGCAGAGCATTGGGCTAGTATTCCAAAGGTCGTAGGTTCGATCCCACCGTGGCCGGGCATATTTTTCAAGCACGCCCGCGGTGTGGATATACACTCAGAGTAACATCACAAACATCAAATCCTTCAAAACTTAGAATTTACCCATGCAAAATTCCTACTGTGATCACAGAAACTTTGATATAGTGTAAACCAACCTTAAGAAAGCTTCTGTTGATGTGAAATTGAGTGGACTTTTAGGAAGAACTTTTTGGAAGTGATAAAAGAATCATTGCTTATAACTACAGGAAACTTGAAATTAACTACTTTGTTTTTTCTGACAGCTCTATCTGTTCTAAACTGTGGATCAGAAGTCTAGTAAAGGCCATGATTGGTCCCGTGTGATTGAAAATATCGGTTGGGATTAGCCCCTATATAAATGACCCTTCCACCATAGCTGCGCAGGGACGCCAGAACTGGGGAGGGCAGGAGGGGCAGCTGCCCCTCTTGCCTTTTACTAGGAGGGGCAAGGGGGGCAGAAGTGCCCTTTGAGTTTTAAAATACTACCTGATAAATCACATTTCCAGTGATGCTTTTTGGGCAAAATCATGAGGTGTGATCTTGAATTTGACCTGATTAAGTGCGTTTGCTTTCATTGGCAAGTCAACACACTATTGTAGGTTTATATCTTCACCGGGATCAATAGAGGTGCCCTTTGGTGTGCGTTTACCCTTTGCCTTTTTGTCGTCCCGGCGTCCCTGGCTGTGCTCCGTGATCAGACAGACACAATGTGGCTGACAGAGGCGCCCTTAGAAATTCTTCAACTCGATTAGGTTGAGCAGCGTCCTTCGCGATACAGCTACAAGTACGAGGATGATTAGCCCACGCCTCACTTACATAAAACCCAAGCTTAAAACACTTTCTAATGTATGTATATTTATTTAGAATATTATAACGATGAAATTGCTCATTATTGCCCTCGTTCTGATGCTGATTGTGGCAGACGTTACTAGCTATTCAGGTGGTCTAATGTGTCTCGGCAAAGCAATGTGCAAAAATAAAAATTCAGGACGAAAAAAGAACGCAGCGTGGAATTCTAGATCCTCGGGGCTTTGGAAGGGTCCGAATAGTCCAGATAATGGATTTATCAACTCGAGACCATGGTATAAACGTGATGCGGGAAAGAGGAATTATGGGTTCTTTAAAACAAGGTATTATATAGGAAATGTTGTTGTTCAAACACCGTTTGCACCATCAAAGCTGCTGTGATCACAGTGGAAATTTTGCATAAATTCGAAGTTTTGAAAAATTTGTAAGAACTGTTTGAGAGAATTTACTTCATGTAACATCATAGCTACTTCGAAATCCTTTCTTTCGCGAGGGACGATTAATGACTAATTGACCTCATTGCTAAAACATGAGGGACGATTAGAAATTAATCATTCCATGGGACGATTAGTTACTAATCGTCCCTCATCTTTATATGCATAACCTCATGTGACATGAGCATTACGGTGAAATATGTCCCTCAAGCCTCGCGAGGTTTAGTAAAAGTCCCTCCTCTTATCAAACCTCTCTCGGCTTTCGGGTACATTTAATCACTAATCGCCCTGAATGCCATGCTATTACTTATAATTCTTAAACACCGAGCCAGTTCCCTCAAACATTTCTTACAAATTTTTCAAAACTTAGAATTTAACTATGCAAAATTCCTATCACAGAAACTTTGACAGTGTAACCCAGCCTTAAAATTATTTTACAGACCGATTCGAAAAATATTTCTCATTGTTTAATCAATTTTCTCCCGAAATGAATTTCAACCAAGACAATCACTGCTGCCTCATAGAATACTTCAAAACTAACATTTTTACAAACTATCATGCAATACAATACAATACAATATAATATATTTTCTTCGAGAAATTAAATCTTAAAAATGCCGGAGTTTGAAAATATGTCAAAGTTTGGCTAATATTTTTCCACAGGTAGTCGTATCTTTCATTAGTCGATAGTTCTGTTAAGATTTATTACACCAAAAGGAAAGACAGCACATGAAGCGATATAACAGTACAGTATAAAATTTTTTTGGAGGCGAGTTAACCAGCTGTATATAAAAGAAGCTCATTTATACAAAGCACCCCAGTGTTAGAACTCGATACAAATTGGGGAAGATTACATTTAGATCTTGTGTGATTTTAAAGCTATTATGTTTTCCTTTCATAGGCCAGAACAAGAGAAATGAATACGATGAATTTTAATGTCTGTAGGAAAACTACATTAAGATTATTCTGAGAGGAAAAATGGTGTCGGCCCTTTATGTACTCTATGATCTATATAAGTCGTGTATTCCAGCTGTCATTGAAGCCTGGTTCACACTGGCAATTTTGTCAGTGATTTTGTGTTTCTGACGGATGCAAATGAGTGAACTCACATACAAAAGTGTAGAGTCGCTTTTCAGAAGTGAACAATTCTAAGTCTTTTGCGTTTCATTCATTCGATCACATTTGGCAGGAGAAAAATCGCCGAAGAGAATTGCTAGTGTGAACCAGGCAATATTATATAACCTGTAAATTATATTCTCAAACTCATTGGTAGTTAATTATTCTTGATTTTCTTTCAAATTATGCATTCGCTTGAGATTAAACAATATATTATGTGAATTTATTTTGTAACCATCATTTATTAACGACAGAACCAGTCAATGTCAACGCCCTTTTCTGCGCTTTTGAGGCTTCGCAGCGTTTGGGACCCCGTCGTTTTCTATGATTATATACAGTAGCCCCTGCACTCAGGCGCCAGCTCCGACGAAGGGCCATGCATCGCTCGGATCAGATTTGACTTCCACTACTGCTATACCGGTACCATTAAGAGACTATTAACCAATCGATGTGTTTGATATATCTGAACAACTGAAAACTGATTAGATGCGTATTAAGCTAATGAGAGGTATAGAATGAGGTAGAGGTAGATTTGAAAATCAAAAGAGGTATGTAGATTTGGAAGAGAGAGGTAGATTTGGAAGAGGTAGATTTGGAAATCAAAAGAGTTAGATTTGGAAATCAAAAGAGTTATATTTGGAAATCAAAGTTGAAGGTAGATTTGGAAATCAAAGTTAGAGGTAGATTTGGAAGAGGTATAGATTTGGAAATCAAAAGACTTAGATTTGGAAATCAAAGTTAGAGGTAGTAGATCTGGAAATCAAAAGAGTTAGATTTAGAAATCAAAGTTAGAGGTAGATTTGGAAATCAAAGTTGAAGGTAGATTTGGAAATCAAAGTTAGAGGTAGATTTGGAAGAGGTATAGATTTGGAAATCAAAAGAGTTAGATTTGGTACTGTGGATTTGAAAATCAAAGGTAGAGGTAGATTTGGAAATCAAATCTGAACCTAATGTGAATCTACTGTACGACTACCAACTTTAACCAGTATACATGTGGTGTCAACATGTTTGCCTTAATTCCTGGATTCAATCCTTGGTCGGACTTCTACTCAAGGTTTTAAATAATTGAGGAGAAAATGCTACCTTTACATTGACATCAGTAAATGGTTAGATTTTCGCGTCTTCTCGTTTAAGGACGTTAAATCGTAGGCACCTCGGATCCCCTATCCATTGGGCAATAGCCTTTTCGAAAATACGCTCACCAATGAGTGAAAAACTCAATAAACTACAATACGAATTTACCCACCTACCTTTTCACATCATCATTTGCAGAAGAGCTGGTCACTTGAATTTATACGGATCAGATAACCGCACTGTCATGATATAGAACAATGAAGGAAAGAACACCAATAAAAATAACGGTCCGTCCATTTTAGGCTCGGACCATTCCGTCAATGCAATGAGAGAAAAAGCATGGAGAAACCAATGACCAATAAGGATTGCAATGATATCTTTCTTTGCCAGTAAATCTTTGAAATTCTGGAAGAAAAATAATTACTTTATTTATATTGGATAGCTCTATCAGTTCTAAACTGTCCTCCCTAGAGGTCTAGTAAGAGCCGTCCATTGATCTAGTGTTAGTACAGAAGGAACCTAACCTAAACTAACTTTATTTATATTGGATAGCTCTATCAGTTCTAAACTGTCCTCCCTAGAGGTCTAAGAGTCGTCCATTGATCTAGTGTTAGTACAGAAGAAACCTAACCTAACTTTATTTATATTAGATAGCTCTATCAGTTCTAGACTGTCTTCCCTAGAGGTCTAGTAAGAGTTGTCCAATATTGATCCAGTTTTACTACAGAGGACCCTAACCAGGGACATATACAAATTGGTAAAACGTACTGTGATTTTTTTCTTTGCCAACAATATAGCTGTACTTAAAACAGACCCAATTAACAGAAGATATGGATATGAATAGTCTATGAATAAATCAGAATATCATTAATGTATTTTAGCAAGAAAGGTTACTACAATGTGGTTGAGTGAAAGTTCCAAGTATATCTTACACAGTAGTCCAGCACAAGCTCCATGAATCATAGCTGTGATAGGCAGGAAATACAATGCAGCATAAATACATTTTCGACCTTGACCATCACATAGTTTCATCAAGATAATTGGTCGGGCAAGCAGCAAGAGCAACACACAAAATGCGTAGTAGTATAGCACCATTGTGTAGCTACAATCACAAGAATAAAATGTAGAATTATTCTGATATCCTTCCTCTTTTAGTCTGATCCAATTCCCCACATCACAAGCTTAGTATCCATTGGGATATTAAGGTTACAGGACACCCTTTTTGGCGTTTTGTGGAAAATCGCTACTACGCGCTCAAAATCAGTCCGATTTTCATCAATTTTTCACCAAATGTTAGCCAGTGCATGCAAAATATGATAAAGTTGTAAAATTGACAAACAATAAAATAATGTAAGAATTATTCAGGAAAATCTTAAGTCGCGGTACCTTTACGCTTTTGAGTTATGTTCCTGCTGGTTTTAAGATATATTTATGAAAATATCATTTTTATACAGTAAAATAGTTGTTCTAAAAAATTGTGTTCGGAAATTTTTGTTTATTTCGTCATTCCGCTGATATGGCGATTTCTTTGACGACTGCAATATATTTCTGAATCGTTTGTGTGAATTGCTCCTTATTATTAAAATATCCAAAATTAGAACAAAGTCGAACACAATTTTGAAACTGACGTCTTTAGCTATGTCCTGTGAAAATTTGAGAGAAATTCGTTAAAACCCGCAGGAGCACAACTCGTTTAAAAATCAGTAATTGCCGTAAAATTCTTCGGGAGAAAATTGAATTTGAATATTACATTTTCACTGTTTTTCTTATTGCAAGCGAAATGTATTTTATTAAATAACTCTGCGAGTTTTCAACATTTTTCGTCCAAACTTGGTCAGATAGTAGAACTAGTCTTTTGCTTTTATGGAAACCAATAAAAAGATTTTAGGCAAAATTAACACTCAAAGGTGTTCTGTAACCTTAAACAAAAACTAATTCCTTTCAACAGAGATTTCTGTGTTGTTTATATTTTGCCATATACACGTGTTATCATTCATAATGTCTGTATTTGCAGATTCTGCATACTGATTACCCTTTTCCAGTGACTCTGTTTTTGTGGTAATTGAAAGCTTGTCTTGCCTTAATTGTTTTGCAAATTCTAATTGTTATCTGTTATCCAAATGTAGGGTATTGGGGGGGGGGGGGTACTAGATTCTCTGGGTGGACCAGATTCCAGTATTCCATTGGACAATGCTGAAAATTTCAAATTCCAAGCCCTGGATGTCTGCTCAGCAAACTTACAGTGGATAGACAGCTTCTTGTGTGCATTGTATTTCATTCACATGGTCAGGCTTCGGGTTGAAGAACACTGTGTACCAGTCTGAAAGCTGTTGCACTCCGCAGGTGTGTACTGAAAGTGAACCTTGAGGAAAAATATATAACATTCCATCAGGGTGCGATAATTCGCTTATTTACGTACCGGAGGTACGCCAATATTACTGTCTGGTGCTTCTTTGTTTTCAGCCACGTACCACGTCGGTACGCGGAACTCTTGCTATCTGCGTACTTATTTTTTGCTGGTAGCACATGACCTTTCCAAGTCCAATATATTTAATATCGTAATTTAGTTGGTATATCATGTGTCTGAGATGTCTTGGCATGAAACATGATTGCACTGATGGCACTAAGAAACGTTGGAGTCGGTTGTTTGAAATAGCAAAACTCCCTTTTCAAATAGCAAAACCCCTTTTCAAATAACAAAACTCCCCTTTCAAATAGCAAAACTCCCTTTTCAAATAGCAAATCTCCCCTTTCAAATAGCAAAACTCCCTTTTTAAATAGCAAAACACCCTTTTCAAATAGCAAAACTCCCTTTTCAAATAGCAAAACACCCTTTTTAAATAGCAAAACCCCTTTTAATCTTTAATCTTTAATAAAATTATTTAAACACGGTAGCCTGTTCAGCAGATAATATTTACAGCGCTGGTTTTCAAAGGGCCGTGTGTTTACAACAATAATATAAAAAGGACAAAAAGAATATAACTATTTACAATGAATTGATACGGATGAATTAAGTAATTGCCGTTTAAACGACAAAGTTGAAAGATTGTTATAATTTTCAATAGTTTCACTTGGAAGTTCGTTCCAGGACTTAGCAGCTCTATACGAGAAACTTCGTTTGAGAAAATTTGTCTTAGGTTTGGGTAGGTTCAATTTAATTTGATTGCTTCTTAGATTGTAATTGTCATTTTGACTTACTGAAAACAATTTTTCAAGGTATCGAGGTAATCGACCAGTTAGTACTTTAAATGTCATTATTAACTGTCGTTGTTTTAGAAGTTCTTCTATTGGAAGCCAATTAAGACTATCTAGCGTTTGCATGGAACGAACCTCGTATGTGTCCCCTGTTATCACACGCGCTGCTCTCTTCTGCAGTATAAACAATTTATCAATTATCGAACAACATCCATCATTCCAGATTGTTGAACAATAATTGAAATGAGGCCACACTAAGGCATTGTAGATTTTTATCAGACTATCTCCATTGACAAACAATTTTGCTCTTTTCAGCAGGGCGATATTATTTGAAATTGTTTTACATTGCATTTCATTATGTTTATTCCATTTTAACTGGTCGTCAAGGATCATGCCTAGTGACTTTTTTTGGTAAACTCGCTTAATGTTGTTTCCCCCTAATGTTAGTACTGGGCTATTTTCAATTGAAGCTAAGCGACGTCTTGATCCTATTATCATAAATTCACTCTTTTTCATATTTAATGAGAGCTTGTTAGCTGTCAACCACCTATGAACATTTTCAATGTCTTTATTAAGTTTGATCTCAATTTCATATGGACTAAACCCTTCACAAGAAAGGCTTGTGTCATCAGCAAAAAGATTTGCTTTAGTTGTCTCTAAACAGTTAGGAAGATCATTTATGTACAATAGGAATAAAATAGGCCCAAGGTTAGAGCCCTGAGGTATCCCGCATTTTATTTGTCTAACAGCTGACATCTTGCTATTCACAGAGCATATTTGGCTTCGACCAGAAACGTATGATTCGAACCATTTCAGGCTAGTTCCTTTAATACCATATAATTCAAGCTTTGATAAAAGAATATGATGGTCGACAGTATCAAAAGCTTTTTTAAGGTCTAGAAATAAAACTCCGCTAAGTAAACCTCTGTCCATATTGAACAACCATTCATTTGTAGAACTAAGCAGTGCAGTTTCAGTAGAATGTTGATGACGGAAGCCAGACTGCTGTTGCACAAGAATGCCATTCAACCTCAAGAATGAACTTAGCTGCAGGTATACCAGTTTTTCGAAAAGTTTAGCTACAGCTGAAATAACAGATATTGGCCTATAATTTTCACAGTCTGCCTTATTTCCTTCTTTAAATATGGGGGTCACCTTTGCTAATTTCCAATCATTAGGGAAAACGTTTTCAGCCTTTTTAAGTCATATCCGCGTTTTATCCAAAAGGATAAAACGCGGATATGGTCAAAAGAACGTTCTATAAGGGCATATCTATATGTATAAAGAATATTGAATATTGTCCTAGAATTTGAACAAATAAAAACCAATGTCTCTTCGCTTAATTACTTACTGCGAGATAAAATTACAATTTAGTGTTAATAAAGTTTTAATTTAGTGTCAGTTATCTGGTATGTAGTACTCCAATTTTATGACAACGTAATGTGCTGTTTTTCAAATGCTTTGATGCAATGCAGTTATCGGTTTAAATATACCTACAATTCGTTAAGTAACAGTTAAGATATGACAATTGCCGTACGGCCTACTTTTACGCGAACGCAAATTACAACTGCAACTTTCATGCTTAATTTTCTCTGTTATCTTGGCATGTAGTAATGTAAATTTATGCCAATGTAAGGTGCTATTTTTCAAGGGCTTTTCAATGCAGTTATCGGTTTAAATATACCTAAAGTTCCCGTTTAAGATATGACAATTGCCGTACGGCCTACTTTTACGCGAACGCAAATTACAACTGCAACTTTCATGCTTAATTTTCTCTGTTATCTGGGCATGTAGTAATGTAAGTTTATGCCAATGCAATCTGCTATTTTTCAAGGGCTTTTCAGTGCAGTTATCAGTTTAAATATACCTCAAATTCCCGTTAAGATATGACAATTGCCGTACGGCCTACTTTTACGCGAACGCAAATTACAACTGCAACTTTCATGCTTAATTTTCTCTGTTATCTGGGCAATTAGTAATGTAAGTTTATGCCAATGCAATCTGCTATTTTTCAAGGGCTTTTCAGTGCATTTATCAGTTTAAATATACCTCAAATTTCCGTTAAGATATGACAATTGCCGTACGGCCTATTTTTACGCGAACGCAAATTAGAACTGCACTGACTTTCATGCTCAGTTAATTTTCTCTGTTATCTGGGCATGTAGTAATGTAATTTTATGCCAATGTAAGGTGCTATTTTCCAGGGCTTTTCAATGCAGTTATCGCGGTTGAAATATACCTAAAATTCTCGTTAAGATATGACAATTGCCGTACGACCTACTTTTACGCAAACGCAAATTAGCTACAATTGCAACTTTCATGCTTAATTTTCTCTGTTATCTGGGCATATAGTAATCTAATATTATGCAATGTAATGTGCTGTTTTTCAAGGGCTTTTCAGTGCAGTCATCGGTTTAAATATAGCTACAATTCTCGTTAAGATATGACAATTGCCGTATGGGCTACTTTTACGCAAACGCGCAAATTACAACTGCGAGATAAGAGTTCTAAAATTAGAATTTTACAATAATCATGGCAGGCGGAAATACGTTTCTCTTTAATTACCGAACAACTGTCTTTACAACAAAGTTGCCCGAGAACGATAGAACATTCGTTGTCAAGAAGCTGGTAGACTCCAGCCATGACTGAGGGGAGACCGAATCGTTAGTCAAAGAAGCGCGGCTTCTTTCAAAACTACATCACGTGAACGCAGTTCAATTCAAGGGAATTTGTGTCGACCAGTATGCTTTAATCCTTGAACATGTTCAACTTGACTTTGCTCCAATTGGATTTGCTACATAACATGCACAGAACCGAAGATAAGAATCTGCAAAATACAAGGTCGGTTTCAACCTGGTTTATATTTCGGAGCCAAACGAAAGAGAGTTAATTTTCTCTGTTATCCGGCCCTCGATCCGGCCGTGTTGCCAAAATGAAAGTGGCAATTGTAATTCGCGTTTGCGTGAGAAAAGTAGGCCGTACGGCAATTGTCATATCTTAACGGGAATTTGAGGTATATTTAAACCGATAACTGCATTGAAAAGCCCTTGAAAAACAGCACGTTGCTTTGGCATAAAATTACATTACTACATGCCCAGATAACAGAGAAAATTAAGCATGAAAGTTGCAGTTGTAATTTGCGTTCGCGTAAAAGTAGGCCGTACGGCAATTGTCATATCTTAACTGTTACTTAACGAATTGTAGGTATATTTAAACCGATAACTGCATTGACATCAAAGCATTTGAAAAACAGCACATTACGTTGTCATAAAATTGGAGTACTACATACCAGATAACTGACACTAAATTAAAACTTTATTAAACACTAAATTGTAATTTTAGAACTCTTATCTCGCAGTAAGTAATTAAGCGAAGAGACATTGGTTTTTATTTGTTCAAATTCTAGGACAATATTCAATATTCTTTATACATATAGATATGCCCTTATAGAACGTTCTTTTGACCATATCCGCGTTTTATCCTTTTGGATAAAACGCGGATATGACTTAAAAAGGGCTGAAAAACGTTTTCTGGACCATATCCGCGTTTTATCCTTTTGGATAAAACGCGGATATATGACTTAAAAAGGGCTGAAAAACGTTTTCTGGACCATATCCGCGTTTTATCCTTTTGGATAAAACGCGGATATGACTTAAAAAGGGATGAAAAACGTTTTCTCGACCATATCCGCGTTTTATCCTTTTGGATAAAACGCGGATATGACTTAAAAATGGCTGAAAAACGTTTTCTGGACCATATCCGCGTTTTATCCTTTTGGATAAAACGCGGATATGACTAAAAAAAGGCTGAAAACATTTTTTGGAAGCCATCCGTCCGTCCGTCCGTCCGCCACTCATCCGTCCGTCCGTCCGTCCGCCATCCATCCGTCCGTCCGTATCCGCGTTTTATCCTAACCCATACTGAGTTTGCCACTTCAGGAAGTGAGCAACGCTAATCGCATTATTAATTGCCGCTATAAGATGTCATCAATCCAGGTTCAGTTGCTTAAACGCTGTGTGAAACCAAGCAAGGAATAAGTTAATTTTCTGTTATGCATAGCGTGAATAATTTCTGTTAGAGAATAGCGTGAATAATATTCAACCTAGATTTTGTTTATGGCATGATAATTCCATCCGGGCAGTATAAAAAGTGCGGCGGCTTCAGTGGCTTATACACGTATACCGCCTTTCCCTAGGCCATAGTGCGCACATGAATCTGGCACAAACGTTTTCACCATAATCACCAAGATATATCTACATATTATTCCAAAAACAATAGCTGCATTGACACCATTGTCTTAACTATTTTACGGAATTTACGCGCGCGCCTGCGTTGTGGGGTAAAGAATAATATAAGACTCCTTTTAAGCTTCCACTGGTTAAGAAAAGATGGGACATCTTCATAACCGGACAGCAAAAGATGGGACAACTTTCTGACAAAAGAGTTTGTATAGTTAAAAAATGCCCTGGTTATGGTGGGTTTCAGTAAGTGTTATACATGGGAAAACACCACTTTACATGCATGTATTGAAGAGTTAATGTGCCTACATAGGTAGGCTGTCAAATTGGTAAATTGCGTGCATTTGCATGGGCGTTCCGAATACGAATCTCGTTCATACGCAGGTGCAATAGCGCGCTGAAGTTGGATTATCTTTTTTGATGCACCATGTAGAGAGCAATTGCGCAAATAATTATGAGTCCGATAAAAATTGTTTGTCCAAATCTAATATATTCT